TAAAATTTAAAAATATACAGGGTGTTGCATTTAAAATAAGAAGGTTGGTATTGGCCAGTGTTACATGATACACCCTCCATAAAAAGTTTTTGTAAAAAAAATGCGCAACTAAAAATACCAATCGATGTGTCCGAGCATTTTTTAAAACACGCCCCTATTTATTTATTACCGAATTTATTCCATTTGGCTGTTCCACACCGTAGAAGAAATAAGGAAAGAAGATAAAAAAATATTCTGCTAAGTCCAGAACCATCCACAAATAGCAATATAAATATAAGTAATGCTACAAAAAAAAAATGTGTGGACAGACCAACACAAAAGAAAGTAAGTCATGAATTTCTCTCAAAAATATTCAGTATTAAAAACCTTCAAAAGAAATAAAATGTAAATAATTAAAAGTAAAACATCCCAACTTTTACTGTGTGTCCAATTAAGTCGAAACCATATGGAAAATTAAATTTTTTTATTCTTAGTTTTATGAAAAAAAAAATCATTCTTTAAAAAAAGTTCTTCATGGTTCAAAACTTAAAATACAACTATCAAATATAATTTTTTTTTGAAGCTTTATAGGTACGTGGTTTGTCAAAAAAATATGAATTTGCTGAAGAGTAAAAAATCTTAATTTTTGAGAAACCTCGTATATGACTAATAAAATTTGATATCTGGTGATTGTATTTTAGGTTTATATTATGCTCGACTTTTTATGAAGATTAACTTTTTTTCCTAGTTCTCATATGCCACCAACTATCTACATAAGTTGGCGTAATATGAAAAACTTTTTTATTATTAATATTAGAAAAAAGTTATTCGTCATAAAAAGTCGAGCATGGCCTAAAATCTAAAACACAACATGCGATATCAAATTTTATTAGTCGTATACAAAGTTTGTCAAAAATAAAGGTACTTTACTCTTCAGCAAAATTCATATTTTTTGACAAACCTCGTATACGGCGTAAAGAAAAATAATATCTGATGGTGGCATTTTAAGTTTTGGACCATGCAGAACTTTTTATAACGAAGGACTTTTTTTATAAAACTAAAAACAAAAAAGTTTCCCATATGGTTTCAACTTAATTGGACACACTGTATAACAAAGAATGCAAAAAATAAAGGTATTCATTTAAAATAGATGCTCAAAAAAGCAATTCTTTTCGACTTTCGATTAAACTTTCAAAAATTTCTTCCTTGTGTTTTTATTTTTCATTATTATTTGCATTTTCTGTCCATTTTAATAATTTTTATATTTTACTAATAAATAGTTTATTGTTTAAAGTTTTCAGCTTTAAAAAAAATATAATTAGTTTAATTTAATTTTAATAAATTTGTCCAAATATAAAAAATCCTATTTAACTGTAGTACCTTACTAAATAAAAACAAAAATTAATTCAATAAAATATTGATTTAAACTACTTGCTCTGATATTATGTACTAGATATTTACTTTAAAAACCGCAAATAATTTCTTGTAATAAAATTTCTCGTTAATATTTTTTTTATGCTTAGGTGTATACACCTAATATGCCAGTCTCAGTTTATTTGATTTTCATTTATGTGTGTTTTGTGTCGGCTTTGTTACTGTTTCCCAGCGCCAATTCAGGAAGAGTACTGTTAATTAAAACCTAACAGTGAATGGCCGGAGTGGGAATCCTACCTGGACATCAAAATTATTTTTAAATAATTAAAGTTTGTAAAAGAATCCTGGTTGACGGTGAGATTCGAACTGCGGACTCTTGGATTCGCAAGCCCAAACTCTAGCTCTGAGCCACCCACCCCCTAAAGATTTGTTTAATAGAGAAACATCAAAAAAAAATTCTTTATTCACTTGTAACATAATTAACTGGCATTCTACAAAAACTTATATGTTTCATCAATCTTGTTTAAATTGTTGAGTGGTGAATGGCAATGATGAATAAATTTACGTGTACTTTATTTTCATTTAAATAATAGTTTGACGCCATAATGACAGTCATATTATTTATATACAAATATATATCTTGAGGCCGAAATGTTGATTGGTAAAGATTACTAAGAAGAGAAATTAGAACTTCATCGTTCAAATATCAGTATACAACGTTGCCAAGTTTTCGATGCCAAAATGTTAGTAGACTGAAAGCTGGATATACATCTACAGTAGCGCCAATATGGAAAAACGCTGAACTAATTGTATATAAATTTTTCATTCTACCATCATTTTGGCACACACTAAAAGTGAAAATTACTCTAAACCAAACAGAGATAGGTATGTAGTATTTTGACCTAACAATATGCAGTCCCTTTCAGTTCGAATGCGATAGAAACGATATATCTATCGTACTCTCAACAAAATTTATTAAGCAAAAACAAAGTGGCGTCGATATACGGACGCCACATCGTCTTGTGACGCCAAATTGTTGGAAAAAGCACAATGTATCGTTGCCAAAATGATAGAATGATGTATATATATATATATATATATATATATATATATATCTATCAAACTTGTAATCTATTGTTTATTGTGTCTTTGGTAATAAATAAATCTAGAAACGGTATAGTGTTGTTATTTTAAAATTCTACAGTGAAATTTATACGGGGATGTAAGGTATTTATGTAAGTAAAGAAGGAATCAAACTGTGCTAAGGAACCCTTAAAAAGCATAAGTATGTCGTCTACATATCGTTGGTAAAAAAATTATTTTGTCAGAAAAGGGATTGTTTAGAATAAGGTTTTGTTCAATATTGTTCATGAATATATCTGCCAAGAAGGGGGAGAGGTTGGAGCCCATGGCTAAACCGGAGGATTGTCTATAGATTTTATCGTTGAATTTAAAAACGTTTTGACTAAGTGAGATCCCTAATAGGTAGCAAATATCTAGAACGACATGAGTTTCAATATTCTTTTCAAAGAGGAGATTCCTGACCAAAGTTATGACATCTTCAGGGGGAATACTAGGAAAGAGATTAAAAACATCCAAGGAGAGTAAAATAGAATCTAGTGGTATGTGTATGTTTGAAATTTTTGAAGTTAGATCTAGTGAATTTTTTATCGCATATTTATTATCAAATTTGGTCAGATCCCTAAGTAAGGAATTAAGAAATATGGAAATTTTTGAAACAGGAGAATCGATGAACCTTACGACTGGTCTTATGGGGATGTTGGTTTTGTGGATTTTAGGAAATCCATAGAGGAGAGGTGTAACTGGGTTCATAGGTACTAGGGTGAAATAGGGTTTGTTAAATAGTTTTAAGACGTTATTGATGGGTTTTAATAAGGTTCTAAGATTAGAGTGGAATTTGATAGTAGGATCCGTTTTAATTTCAGTAAAAGAGTTATCTGAATTTAAAAAAAGGTTAACTTTGTTAAGAATGACTAAACAATTACCTTTGTCAGTTTTTGTAATCAAAAGGTTTTCACTTCTAATTTTGTTGTTTAAAATTTTTAGTTCGTTGTTAAAGTTACCAGAGAAGTTTATTTTAGGTATAGGAGTGGGTTTATTGTGGAAATTATTAAGGGTGGAGCAAATTTCATTTTTTATAGATTCTATGGATAGAAAGTGTAGATTTTTATCAGACTTAGAAGGGTAGCAATTGAATTTTATATTTGGAACATACCAAACATTAGGAAGATTTACTTTACGTTTTCTTCCGTGTACATCAGGCTCAACTGTAACAGTGCCTTTGCCAAGAGATTTTACGCATTTTCCATTGGCTGTCGTAACAGTGTGGACTTCCATGAAGGGAGAAAAATCTTGAAATATATCGCTACGATAGGTTATATGATTGGTAGCCCCATTATCTATATACCAATCCCCTTCATCGTACTTAGAAAAAAAACATATTGCTAGTCACCGCAATTAGAGTCGTGTTCACACCTTGCTCGTTTTTGGAAGGTTTTCCATCTGCTTTCCACTTCTTACATTGCTTAGCAAAATGTCCACCTTCTTTGCAGCAGTGGCAGATTAATTTCTTCTTAAAATTACATTTAGGTCTGAAGTTTGTAACTAGAAGAGCTTCTTGACTGAAACTTTCACTCCAGCTACCCCTCTTAGCAAAATACATGTACTCCAATTTGACTGTCCTTCATGTAGCCCTATCTGAACTCTGCTTAAAGGGGTACAGGAAAACTGCTCACAAACTACCGTAGAACAGGGTTACATATTATAAAACCAGAGTACCTTTTCATTTAACTCACTCATGGTTGATTATTATAAATGCGCTTGAATATAAAAAAAGATCGGTAGAGAAAATATTTTTTAAAAACCTAGTTCATTAAAAAATGTCAAATGCCCGTTTATATTGGCCTCCTGTATTTGTAACTTTGGCTTTTTGAATCAAGGACATCGTTGGTACAAAGCGAATGTATTACCAAACTATGGACTCTTTTCTACTGTGAGACAATCAATTATTGTAAAATACATATTATTTTGTGCTATTGTGGAATATTTTTCGGTTCATTTGTGTCAACTTCGCGCGTTACAGTTAAGAATATGTATCCCTCGTATATACATGCAATTGTTAAAATTATGAATGAATGCTGATTTTGTTTAGTCCCTTGTTGTAATTGTATACCTACTAAACTACCGTTGTCCCGAAGGTCCTTCAGTTTGTAATGTAAATTTTCCTAAGGGATTATTAATTTTATATTTAAAGCCGTTGAACTATACTTTATGAAAAGCTTAACTACATCTAGAAACAATGAAGTGTAGATCTTCTTAATGAAAAAGATGGCACTCCAAATTGAAATGGTTGAAAAAGGACAGATAACAATTTAAATAAACTTATATCTAAATTTTTATTTGAAAACTGATCAAAATACTTTGAGATATTAATTTTTATAGAAAATAAAGATAATCGTGATTGTTTACTATTTTGTTATGCTCATATCAGCGTATTCATTCCTCTATTTTTATTCTCGTATATCTATACATAATTAAATCGCTATTATACGATACAAAATCGAAGTATGGACACACAAAACAAGAAGAAAAATATTTGGAAAAACCCAGTACCCATCTCAATCGGACATATAAAACCACCAACTTCACGATGCAAACCAACCAGTCGGGCCGGTGTTAATCAAGAGTGAATTATACAGTAGGCGAGATTAAAATAATTCGAGATGATACGGTGTCGGTTGAGTTTGTTATTAATTTTTGCGGTTTCGGGGGTGTTGACCGAATACTCCCCTTTCGATATGGTGGACGAATACGTTCGGCAATTCAAATTGGGGATGAATTCCATGTACAAGTGGTCAGATAATTATAAGTATCAGCAGAATAATTTTGAAAAGGAAAAGTTTAATACTACTTTAGCTATGGGAGGTAAGATTCGTTGATGTAATTTAACTATTATGATGAAGGAGTGGGTGGCTCAGTGGTAGAGTCTGTGCCTGTGGATCCAAGGGTCTCAGGTTCGAATCCCACCGTTGGCAGGATTTTTTTATTTAATTTAATTATATAAAATTAATTTTCATGCCTTGGTAGGATTCCCCACTCGACCATTCACTGTTGGGTTCTAATTAACAGTGCTGTATCCTAAAGTGGCACTAGAAAACAGTACAAAGCCTATACAGAACACGAGGCTAATGACCTTAGTAGTCGATGCTGATGACACCAAATTAAAAAAAAGAAAATATGATAATAAGCTAATACAGTTATTTTTGAACTACGGGTGTAAAATTCCACGTTAAACTGACAGACTGTATATACAGTGTTACAATTTAAAAAATTACAATGGGCTATATTTCACAAACGAAAGATATCAAAAAATGCTTCAAATGTCCTCGATTCAAAAAGTCAAAGTAACAAATACAGGAAGCCAATGTAAACGGTCTCTTGACATTTTACATTTTTAAATAAAATAGGTTTTTAAAAAATATTTTCTATACATGTTGTTTTTTTATATTCAAGCGGATTTATAATATTCAAATTAGCCATGAGTGAGTTAGTTAAATGAAAAGGTATTTTGGTTTTATAATATGTAACGATCAGATATATTTCAGAATATTATTATTTATATTTTATAACAAAAAATATTTTTGTTGTTTAAATAATCTGTTATAATGAACCACCTAAGTACAGCTTCTAGAACAAATTCATAAAAACCCTGGCTATCAGCAGCCGAGTTGTAAGTTGCACAGTTAAAAAATTTTATCCATTTGAGCAAAAACTACAAATGAATTGAAAGAAAAAGTGATGGGTAATACCTTTTTTTCTCACAATATCAGGTATTAGGAGTTATATAGAAAAGTATTCAATATTCTAAACAAAAAACAAAAACATGTTTAAATTAATAAATTAAACAAAATATGACCTTTCTTTAACAGAGATATATTTATTTGTATTATGAAAACAATGTTTATGTCAACAAATTTATGTTCGGTATATGACAATTTGTAAAGATAATTCTTGTATAATGATAATATGAATATTTAAAGGTTTTAAATAAGGGCTTGAAGATATCACAGTTCAAAATTCCTTTTATTGATCATAATACTTTTTCTTTGGAATGAAAGCATTAGTTCCTATTTTTCAATTAAGCTCCATAAATCAATTCATATTTTAATCTGAACGGTACCTAAGCGCAGTAAAGTTGCAACAACTAAACAATATAATGAACTTTAAAATGAAATTCAATTTATATTTATTAACTGACCCTATCATTCAATCTCCGATAGGAATATCGGATCATGCAGTTATCATAAGTCGTATACAGTTTAACATAGAGAACCCATCTCACAAATATCATACTTCATCTTATGAAATCATCGATTTCAATAACTTCAATCGTCATTTATCTACTATCGACTGGATAAAAACATTGGGGGGCTCGGGAGATCCGGAAGAAGTATGGAATAAGTTCGCAATTTTTATTGCTACTCATAAAATGCAATACTCTAAAAAGAAGGTGTTTTACAAAAATAAATTAAAACCGTGGATCAACGGAGAACTAATATCCTTGATTAGACATAAAAGTAAATTATGGCGTAAATATAAGCGGTCAAATAGTATTGTCGATCTAGAATATCACAAAAATTTTTCCAAGGACCTAAAGAAATTTATAAATGAGGCCCGAGAAGAATATGAAGAGTCAATAGCATGCAGCCAAAACTGTAAAAAATTATACAAATATATTAGATCTTCACTATCATCAAAAGTATCCATTCCTTTACTAAACAAAGAAGATGGAAGTCCCTGCCAAAATAATTTCGAAACGGCTGAACTTTTAGCTAATACCTTCACAAAAGTTTTCACCAATGAACCTCCCCAGGATCAGTTACCAGATATCTCACCCGAAAGAATCCATTCTTCCTTAGAACGGCTCAATTTTACTCCTGAAATTGTCAAACGTCACCTTTTAAAATTAAAAAACAATTCCTCTCCGGGTCTAGATCAAATATCTTCTCTATTTTTAAAACAATGCTCTAATACCATATCAGTTCCTTTATCTATTATAATGTCTTTGTCTTTTAATACACACACATTACCCTCTATCTGGAAAACAGCTTCTGTAACACCCATTTTCAAGAAAGGAAACAAACTAGACTCTAATAACTACCGCCCAATGAGCCTCACACCCATAATCTGTAAAGTTATGGAATCTATAATAACAGAGCACGTTTCTCAGTTTCTCTTAGCGGAAGAAATCATTCCCAAACAGCAACATGGATTTGTAAAAGGGCGATCAACCATGACCAATTTGCTTTGGTGTGTAAATGAGTGGACAGTTTCATTAGACAGGAAAAAACCTATAGACATTATTTACCTGGATTTTGCGAAAGCTTTTGATCGTGTGCCGAAACGAAGATTACTACATAAGTTAGAACACCTTGGTATACGTGGTGATTTACTTAAATGGATCGAGTCATTCTTAACTGATAGAAAGTACTGTTTTAAAGTTGGAAATTCGCATTCATTTGAAAGACCAGTCTTGAGTGGGGTTCCTCAGGGATCAGTTCTGCGTCCACTCTTATTTATAATATATGCCAGTGACCTTCAATTCCATATCAAGTGCAACAATATTTTTTACGCAGATGACACTAAAATATTTAGTGACCCGTCTCTAAACTTCCAACAGCTTCAAGATGACCTTGACTCCATCTATAACTGGTGCTCAGATTGGATGCTACCTCTAAATACAAATAAAAGTGTAGTTCTCCATATTGGTAAAAATAATCCTCGTCATAATTATTTTCTAAACGGTCATACGTTAAATAAAGTTAAATCTTACAATGATCTAGGTGTTATATTTACTGAAAATCTCAGCTGGTCTGAGCACGTTCTTCAAGTGTAAAAAAAGGCGAACACGAAAATGTACTTATTAAAGAAAACATTCGCAAAAGTGTCTTTTTAAAATTCTATCCGGTTGTATAAATTATACATTCGTCCGATTATCGAGTACTGCGGAGCTGTGTGGTGTCCGGAACTAGTGCGGGATAAAAATATTCTTGGAAATGTTCAGCGCCGATCAACCAGACTATTTTTCGGACGTATGAGACCTAATTACGCAGAGAGGCTACATATGGCTGAACTACAAACGTTTGAAAATCGCCGTCTGCGGGGTGACATGATAATTTGTTTTCGTATTTTAAAATATAATTTTGGAAATTTAAAATGTATGTTCATCGTGGACAGTGAAAATCGACTACGTGGCCATAAATGGAAGCTGAAAAAAGAACAATTTCTTACGAAAACGAGGCAAATTTTTTTATTTAATCGAATATTCCACACTTAGAATTCTCTACCTGAGAATGTTGTAAATGCTCCATCTGTCAATGTTTTCAAGAACGAACTTGATAATTTTCTATTTTTTAATTAACATTTCATTTGTTTCATTGTTTATTCATCGGTTGTACCTGTTATTGATTTAGTTTTTAGTAATATTGTTTTATATTCAATTAATATGGGCTTATGGGCCATGGCCCCTGCTCTTATCAAATTATAATAATAATAATAATAATAATAATAATAATAATTAAGTAAGTTAGCTAAAAGTTTTGACCGTATGAAGTTATTAAAGTTATAAACAATTAAGTTACAAAGATTCATATGTGAATTTTCAATTTCTATTGATGTGATAGTTACTCATCTGCATTTTACAATATCAATACATGGCTTGGCTTTGGCTTTGTGAGCTGAATGTTGTCTTTTTTATAATCCATTTTAATTACTATACTCTGTTTTTAAACTAAGAGGAGCGATTTGAATTTAAGTTGGCAATTCTGTAGCCTTCTGATTGGTCAGATTACAGTCAGTTTCACACATTACTTTTTAGCATGAACATCAGCTAATAATTGATATTGTTGACAGTTCTGACATTTTATAATTTAATATCTCATCCATTACTTAGTTTTTTACTTTATTTCGTAAATAATAGTTCTTTAGTAAGCAATTGTATTGAAAATCTACAATTATGGATCCTTCTACACTGAGTACTATTAAAGGTAGCAATTCCTGAAAAGCCTTACAAGAAAGGGAAGACACCTTATTATTTTACATGCTGATTCTGAAGGTTTTGTAGAAAATGCATTATTGGTTTTTGAAGGTAAAAAGATGGGAGATTACCATGAAGAGATGAATTCCGAAGTATTTTAGAAAAAAATAATTTTATTACTGATTTTTTAAAACTAAAAATTGATGAATAAAATGTGACTAAATATTCAAGCAAATTTTATTTATTAGAATAGAATAAAACTATTTACAAAATTGTTATAACATTTAAAACACCATCTACTACTTTAGGAATAATCTTAATTTGGCACAATGAGTTAACATTATTTTCACAAAAAATATTTTAAAAATACTTAAAATTAATACATAGGTATGTATGAATAGTTCACTTTAAAAAATATATGTTAACATGTAGGGTTATGAAAATGTTGGTTCCAGTTTTCAAAACAAATTCTGACTCATAGGCCTGTTCACTTTTGAATGCCTTTATTTGCCCTCTAGCGCATTAACCGTGGGTTAATACTAAATAAGCCATAATATCCACATTACTCATAGAAGAGATACCAGTTACTGTGTGATCCACTTTTCATTCACTGATTAACTTTTACTTTTTATACCTATAACAAATATATCCTTTAAAATGTAAACAGATCTTTATATTTTATACTAACCTGGCTACATCTGGATATTCCATTAACAATTTTCTTAAATATTTATTATCCATTTTAAAAAGATCATAGTTATTCTCAAAAAGTCGATTTCAAAAGCAAGAAAAAAGTATTTCTGACATCAGTCAACAACCATATTGACTTAAATTTGACAGTGACATTTCGTTTTAGACACACATTTCAGATCACAATAATGTGAAATTT